AGAGAGAGAGAGAGAGAGAGAGAGAGAGAGAGAGAGAGAGAGAGAGAGAGAGAGAGAGAGAGAGAGAGAGAGAGAGAGAGAGAGTGGCTCTCTGTTTCGCTCATCTTTTCCCGCTTTCCTCATACTTGTTGTAATGTGCTTTTCTTCCTCAATGGAGATGGCACATTAGAATGCACTGAAAGTCTGAAACATAGTGCCGGTAGATGAGGACTTGGGTGAGACAGACCAGGCGAGTTCTTCATCCTCCGCTTCCTCGCTCTTTTTCGTCTCTCTTACCTCTCTTCCGCTTATCCATTGTCCTTTTGTTCGTCATTGTTATTTCTTCCTTTTTGCTTACATTTGGCCTGCTTCTTCAGTGGCAAGGGGGAAAGGTTTCCGATGTGACAAATAGGGGTAGGGGGCAAAGGGAGGGAAAGAGGTTGGGGGAGAGGGGGTAAAGGGGGTAGGGAAAAGTATTGAAAATGCGTGAGGGTGGAGTTGAAAAGGGGTGCTGTGAAATCGCAACGGAGGTAGGCAGGGTGAGTGGGGTACGAGGGTTGGGGAAAGGGGAGGGGGGGGGGAAGGGGGGGGGGTTGTCGCAGGCAAAAGTGTGGGTGAGGAAAGCATTACGATAGCGAGGGGAGGGGGAAGAGGGAAAGATGGGTGCTGGATGTAAACATCGGAACAGGGGCAGCAGAGGACAGAGGGGGTGGAATGGGGTTGGGATAAAGCATCGAAATAGGGGTATTGTTTCAATGTGGCTGAAGAGGGTGGAGATTGAGTATTGGCACAGGGGTTGGGGAGAAGGTAAGGGCAATGGATAATGTCTCAAAGTTGCAGGAGGGAAGGGAGTGGGGAGTGTGGGGAAAGTGTGGGCGAGGAAAGTATTGGAATCGTGAGAGGAAGTGGAAGGGGGGTGGGTGTGGAAATCAAGCGTCGAAGTGAGGGTAGAGTTTAGAGGGACCGAAGAGGGCGGTGCAATGACCCCATGAACCCCACGAATTCACGCCGCTTCTTACTGCATCACAAGGGTTCACATCACAAGACACACAAGAAGCAACCAACACGATATGAGAACACTTTGGATGAAAGTCCCCGGAGAATTCAAGTCTTACACAAGTGTATAAATATATACTATAAAATCATTATTGATATTGATATATATATACAGTTCTATTTGACGATATATATATATATGCTTGTTTACTCTTCCTTTGCGTGCCTAGGCAGGTGACCTTGTTCATCATTTCAGAGATCACCTCCACTATGTTCAAGGAGTGTGTTGGGATCCCGTTGGCCAGTACCTGGTCACACAGAGTGGCGACCGCACATGCAGGGTGTATGGGCGGCAATCGCAGTCAAACAAGAACCAGAAAAAGAAGGACAAGTGTGCGCCAGCAGGAGGAGGGCCATTTACATGCCAGCATGTTCTGCTCAAACGAAATATTACTATGCTTCGAGGGACAAACGGGCTTCCACCAGCAGTGAATGGTCCATCAGGAGGATCGGGCACCATGCCATCTGAGTTACAGAAGGAGGGTTGTGCAGCAAACAGTAAGGTAAGTATGCCCTGGTGTATATGCTTAAGGAACAGGAGTTCATGTTTGCGCTTTCTTTTTTTTGTGGATATTTGCATTTTTTTAAACACGAAAACCTGCAAAAATCCCTTAGTTGTCCTGATCAACTTTTGAACCCTGGGACCTATGAAACCGTATGAGCGTGCGCGCATAAAGCGTCCCCCTCCTCCCCCCCCCCCCACCCCCCCCGGGCACGCAAAAACAAACTCAAAACGCTTTAAGTCGTGCGTACTCGTCAAAAAAAGAGCGCGCGCGCGTCATGGGGTTGTGCAAGGGCAGGGGATGTCGTGGGGGCGGTTGCGCAGAAAAAAAAAGTTGGTGGTTGGGGGTGACTTTTTTTTGTGGGGAGGGGCTGGGTGGGGAAGGTAGTGGCTCTCTCTCTCTATATATATATATGTGTGTGTGTGTGTGTGTGTGTGTGTGTGTGTGTGTGCGCGCG